TCCCTGTTCCCTCCCTCCTTCCTTTCTCCCTGTTCCCTCCTTCTTCCCTCCCTCCCTCCTTCCTTCCACCCTCCCTCCCTCCTGCAGCTACAGAAATAAATTCATTCTTCTGATTGATGGATTGATAATCAACCAACCTAATCAACCAGACTTGCGTTAATATGCATACAACATGTATGATTGAAATGGGGGGGGTGGAATGGGGGTGATACTATAGTTTAAGCAAAGCTGAGATCTGATTACAGGTAGTCCTCAACTTACAACAGCGTGGAAAAAATGGTCATACGTCACTTTTTTCCCTGCCGTTATAACTTTGAATGGTCACTACATGAGCTGTAAATTGTAAGCTGTAAGTTATAAGCTGTAAGTCACTACATCAGCTGTAAGTTGTAAGTCGAGGACTACCTCTAGTAAGCAGCCTGCTACTAAAAAGTGCCTTTTAATAGCCTTGGTCTCCTCCTTTTTCCTTTTTTAAAAAAATATCCCTGCAGATCGTCTTGCCTCCACACCTTGAGAAGATCCGGGAGAAACTGGCAGAGAATATCCACGAATTGTGGGCACTGACTCGCATCGAGCAGGGATGGATTTACGGGCCGGTGAGTTTTGCTGTCCAGAAACCAGAGGTTGGAGGTTGCCATGCCTTTCCTTTTTTAAAAAAAAAAATTATTGTACATTTTCCATTATTATTCATCACATTTTCAATTTTGCAACATCTGTGTACTGGTTATATCAAGTCCTTAAAAAAATATACATCACCGTATACAATCCTGGTTATAACTATGATTCTCATAGTCATGCTATCAGGGCTCCAGCAGTTACCCCCATTTAAATCATGAGTCTCCAGCCGAACTTCCAAAACTTAAAGAAGATTTATTAGGAGTAAACATGCCGGTGCTGCCTGGGTGTAGCCGACTCTGAGACACAACATTCATTGTCACCTTTGACCCTGGTTTCCCCTGGGTGTATCATAATTCGTATTCTCCAATGGGACACATCCATAGCCAAGAGTCATTAATCATGCTCTCCAGTTAGAATTTTGCACGGCAGAAACTTTGGTCACCTAGAAACTATCTTTGAAAACATTTATGGAATGCAAGTTGCCCACTGCTTCCGCTTCCCTTTCTGTTGGCACCTCTAAAAAGACCATAGAAATATTTGATGAATTGACGCATGCAGTATAGTCTCTTTTGACTACATAGTGTTGTACATCATAATTAACAACTATTATTTTCATAGTGTAATACGCTACTGCATTTATCATTCTATACACTTTAAATAGAAGGGACGTGATGGCTCCATGGCTAGGACACTGAGCTTGTCGATCAGAAAGGTCGGCAGTTCAGTGGTTTGAATCCCTAGCGCCACGTCATGGAGTGAGCTCCCGTTACTTGTCCCAGCTTCTGCCAACCTAGCAGTTCGAAAGCATGTACAAAAAATGCAAGTAGAAAAATAGGGACCACTGAGGGCGGAAGGGAACAGCATTCCGTGCACCTTTGGCGTTTAGTCATGCCGGCCGCATGACCACGGAGACGTCTTCGGACAGTGCTGGCTCTTTGGCTTTGTAATGGAGATGAGCACTGCCCCCTAGAGTCGGAAACAACTAGCATGTATGTGCGAGAGGAACCTTTACTTTTTACCTTTACACTTTAAATTATATTCACGGAGGTTGCCATGCCTTGTGTGTAAACAAGAAAGATTGTGTAGCCTTCGGCGTCTTTAACAAGCCACCATGAAGCCGGGCACCTCGCAATGATGTCGCACAAGGGATGCGAACTTTATCATTCCTGTCATTTGCGGAATAGGGAATCGTAGCCTGGAGAATGTCAGATCCTTTTCCGCCACTCGATGAAATTGTAAACGAGGTTTCCCCTGATCCACCATTGTTTCATCTCAGGTCCGGGATGACAACAAACACCTGCACCCATGTTTGTTGGATTTCCACAGCCTTCCTGAGCCGGAGCGCAATTACAACCTGCAGATGTCAGGCGAGACCCTCAAGTGAGTGATGGTTGGGGGAAATCCCTGGGAGATACCTTGAAATGATCTACTGGATCTACTGAGCCGTGGCCTCCTCTGTAGTCCAGGTCTTTGGATTATAGCCAGGGGTGGGATTCAACAATCGCAGCAACTGGATCGCTGCCCGGTTGCTGGGTGGGCGTGGCCATGGTGGGCGTGGCCTACTGGATCTTCAGGGAGGGCCATTTTTCGCCTTCCCCACAGTCCGGAGGCTTCCCTCAGACCTCTGGGAGGGCGAAAACGGCCTCCGCCAGGCTCCCGAGGGCCTCCGGAAACAGGAAACAGGCCCGTTTCCAGACTTGTGGAATGTCCGGATGGACCGTTTTTCACCCACCCGGAGCCTCCACATGGACCTTGCACTTACTTACATCCAAAACAGGCCACGTGGAAACTCCTGGGAGGGAGGAGCGGGGTGGGCGGGGCCAGCCGGTCGGTTCAACTACCGGTTTGGCAAACCAAACTTAAATTTAACATCCAGTTCGCCCGAACCGGTCCGAACTGGTAGAATCCCACCCCTGATTATAGCCCATGATTGAGATTGCATGGACATTTGGATTAAGGTTGCTTAACAGCGACAACAGAGGAATTTGGTTGGCTAAAAGCAAACTGAGGAAGACACAACAGATGGAATGTCTCCATCAATTCAAATGGAATTGGTCTGGGTGAAGCATAAAGGAAGCGTGGGGTCCTTGGAGCTCTCTGAGTTGGATTGTTTCCTGGTAGACATTCTACCACCCAACTAGAGAACATCATCAGTGCTAGAAGGGAGTGGGGTTTGTTTATATATCAGTGGCGTACCCAGTCAGTGTTGGTGGGCGAGTTCTTGGAGATTTCTTGATTAGCCTGCTGTTTACTATTAGCTTGTTTGTCTGAGTTGGTGCCTCCTTGATTGGAGTACGGTTTGCTCCTTAACTTTAGGTCCAGTAGGAAGTGCAATCAATCTCAATCAGAATAGAGCTGGGAGGGACTTTGGAGGTCTTCTAGTCCAGACCCCTGCTCAAGTAGGAGACCCTATACCATTTCAGATAGGTGGTTGTCCAGTCTTTTCTTTAAAATCCCCGGTGTTGAAGCACCTACAACTTCTAGAGGCAAGCTGTTCCACTGGTTCATTGTCCTCACTTGTTAGGAAGTTTCTCCTTAAGCTGCAAATGTAGCGTTTCAATTCGTTGGATAATAGCCATCGCACCTGGACTTCTTTACTGTTTCACCGTGCTTTTACAACTCTAAGTGATTTACAGTAAGCCGCTTGCCCCCGACAATCTAGCTCCTCATTTTACCCACCTCGGAAGGACGGAGGCCTGAGTCCAACTTTGAGCCTGGTGAGATTCGAACTGCCAAATTCAGGCAGCCTGCAGTACTGCACTCTAACCACTGCGCCACCAAGGCTCAATCTAGCTGAGCTGTAACAATTTAGTTTCTCAACACAGGGCAGATTTTGTGGAGCGTCCTTGGGGCTTGAAGCGTGTGGCGCCATATTTGCTACCCAAAGGAGAACGGGGATGTGGCTTAGCTCCTCCCCACCCACCCAGCATAATTACGATCTGATCTCTTCCTTTGCAGGACCTTGCTTGCTCTGGGCTGCCATGTGGGGATGGCGGATGAGAAAGCCGAAGAGAACCTCAAGAAAACCAAGCTGCCTAAAACGTAACCAATTTGGCTCCAGTGTGTTGGGTGTGTAGAGAGGCTGGTTTTGCCTATAGCATCCTAAGTGTCACACCTTTGCAGGTACATGATGTCCAATGGCTACAAACCGGCACCCTTGGATCTCAACCACATCAAGCTCACTCCAGCCCAAAATACGTTGGTGGACAAACTGGCTGAGAACGGACACAATGTCTGGGCACGGGATCGGGTCCAACAGGGCTGGACGTACAGCGTTGTGCAGGTGTGGTCCCCAACCTGACTACCTGGGCGGCCCGGTGGGGTGGGTTGAGGAGAGAGGTGATAGTTCCCTGCGAGTGGCAGGTGGGTGGACATCAGCGTGCACAGATCCATTTGTGTGAATGGTCGGTATGCGCTCTATAAGTAGAGGGGAGTTTTGTGTACAAGCACAAGCGGACGCCACTTGTACAAGGGGATATTTGAGTGCACGTCTGTGGGCGTTTGCTGCTTGTGCGGCCAATTTCCAAACAGGCCGCGGCCCGATAGTGGACTACAGCCCAGGAGTTGGGGACCCAGGTTATATGGGGTGTCAGCGTTTTGAGGAATGAGTCCAAAGAAATCAGAACTCCGAGGGAGGGAGGTCCCTCAAAGAACATGTTTATTGGATACATCGTATTGGCACGGCTAGTGAAAACCAACTCTGAAGTTTCCCGCGGTTATAGCATAATTAAAAGAGAAACTGTTTCCCTCCCCAAGTGTTCCACATCACATTGTCCAATTAAATCCTTGGTCACTCCTTTCTTCCTTCAACTGCCCCCTGTTGGGATGACCTTGGTTCCCACAGGAAGGCTCTTGGTTATTGTTCTGACCCAGCCTTCGCAGAAGCAAGAAACCGACTCCCTGCAAAGCAAAACCCCTCTTTAATTACACCCTTGGGAATTAACTGCATTCGCCAACAGAAAGGCCAGCCAAAGGTCCTGCAAGAAGTTAACTGAAACAATAGTTCTCATCAGCTCATTATGATAAATGCAAGGGTGTGAGCTCCCAGCCGGGAGGCTGAAAATTTAAGTCAGAGAAATAGACAAACCTCCGTTCTGGCAAGGCAGTCTTTGTCGCAGGAAACACACAAGGAGCAAATGTTCCAGAAATGCAAACGGTTGTTGCAACAACCCAACTACTCCCCTTTTCCTCCTATTTATTCCCCAGCTAGGGAGGGGGCCATTGAGCGTTTGTTTTGCTTCCCCGAGCCAGCTCATTGTCCTCCGTTATTCACCTATCCGTTCTGAGCATACGCACCTCTGGAACAAGCCCCAACTCCTCCTCCTCACTTATCTCAGACTCCAAAGGCAGCTGTCTCTCCGGTGGCTGGGAAATGTCGGACAGCCCTGGCTCTGTGTCTGACGCTGAGCAGCCATCAGAGGCTTCCCCAGGCTCCAGAATTGGCTCAAGTTCTTCCCCAGCCTTCTCATCGTCTCAAGTCTGGTGGGCCATGACAGTTATGTCTGCGAGACAGTCTATTTCCGTGATGGCGAACCTGTGGCACGTGGCATGCACAGCCCTTTGTGACAGCACACAGGCTACAGGCGAACTTAACCTCACTGTTCACGCTTCACAGCTGATTTCCGGCCGGTTTGAGGCCTTTTTCAGCCTCACAAAGGCTTGAGCAGGCTTCTGCAAGCTTTGCAGGCCGAAAACTAGCCCCGTTTTGTCACTTCCGGTATTTTCGTAAAAACAGGAAGTGATGAAACGGGACTAGTTTTCGGCCTGCAAAGCTTGCAGAAGCCTGCAGAAGCCTTCCTCAAGCCTTTGGGAAGTCGAAAAAGGCCTCAAACCGGCCAAAAATCAGCTGTGAGGCGCAGTGCAGGTAAGGGGGTGGCGGGAGGTGGGTGGATTGCATGCACATGTGTAGAGGGCGTGGGGAGGGGCGCCTTGCCTTCTAGCACACACACAATTTTTGGCACAGGAGCCCAAAAAGGTTAGCCACCACTGGTCTATCTACTCCCCCCCCCTTTCCCTCCCCCCAGAGTACGTGGCAACTATGAAGCAGCAAAAATGGCTTCAGCCAGGTTTGATTCAGTGTTGACATGGGGTCCCTGTGGACCGATGGCTGAAAGCGACAACCTGGCAGGGGAAGGGAGTAGTGGAAGGCGCGGTATGGGATGAGGGACCACCATGGCGGTATCTGGTGGTGTGCCACAAGATTCCAGGTCGTTTCCTCCACTCCTACCAGCTTTCAAGTACAATGCGTGGGGCTTGGCGATGTGTTTTCTTAAGCTGCTTCGTGTTCATAGACCTGCGTGTCTTCCTCGGGCTTGTAGGACATCAAAAACAAGCGCAACCCCCGTCTGGTGCCCTATCACCTCCTCGATGAGAGGACCAAGAAGACCAACCGGGACAGCTTGCGGGAAGCGGTGCGAACCCTCCTTGGCTACGGATACAACATTGAACCCCCAGATCAGGAAGCCTGTGAGTGTCCTTCCATTCTTCGGCCTCTGGTTTCTACTCCTTAACCTCAGATGAACAAGAGTTGGAAGGGACCTTGGAGGTCATCTAGTCCAACCCCATCCACCCACCCAAGCAGGAGACCCTACACCATTTCTGACAAGAGGGCAGCCCAGTCTCTCCTCGAAAGCCTCCAGTGATGAAGCTTCCATAACTTCTGAAGGCAACTTCTGTTCCATTGGTTGATTGTTCTCAGTGTCAGAAAATTTCTCCTTATTTCCAGGTTGAATCTCTCCTGGATCAGTTTCCATCCATTATTCCTTGTCTGGCCTTCGGGTGCTTTGGAAAATAGCTTGAATAGCTTCCAATATTGGAAGGCTGCTCTCCTGTCTCCCCTGGTCCTTCTCTTCACTAGACTAGCCAGGCCCAGTTCCTGTAACCATTCTTTATACGTTTTATCCTTTTAGTTTAATTCATTGATTCTATTATTATGTTGATATGCCACCCATTTTGCAGTCAAGAAGCTCTGGGCAGCTTTCATATAGACAGAGACATGAAAACCTAAAACATTAAATCAACCAAAATTAATTGGAGCAACCCAGAGTTCATCACATCAGCAAGATGGGCAGCATAAACATTTAATAAGTAAATAAACAAGTTACGAACCAGATTACTACGAAGTATAATATGATTGCAGGAACTGGGTAGGACTGCTTTAATGGAAAGAAAGAGTTAGAGGTGGCATGATAGCAAGTGTTCCAATATTTGAGGGGCTACCACAGAGAAGAGGGGGATCAAGCTATTCTCCAAAAGCACCTGAGGGCAGGACAAGAAGCAAGATGGAAAGAAGATGGAAATTCATCAAGGAAAGGAGCAACCTGGAATTAAAGAGAAATTTCCTGACAGGACAATTAATCAGCTGAACGACTTCCCCCAGAAGTTGTGAATGCTCCAACACTGGACGTTTTTAAGAAGAGATTGGATAACCATTTGTCCGGAATGGTTGTTCTGACCCAAACCTGGTTCCAAGAGAGCAAACACAAGACAAAGGCAGCAGCACAACCTTTTAATGTTTCCTCTATGGATCCTGTTTCTTCACAGATAGAAGGCTGCTTCCAACTAATTAGCTCCAACATGAAAGAGCCTTGCCAAGTTTTTGCAAGGCTGCCAAAAAACAACAGATAAGAAATATTTTACAACACAAGAGTCTTCAAATGCCAACTGTAATGTCCACGAGGCTGAGTTTCAAAACGTCTTTGCTTCCTGCAAAGAACGTTCGCTTCACAGCTGGCTTTTATCTTCTTGAAGGAGGGGCCATCACCTTGCAGCCTTACTCCCGAGTCGCCCTTGCTGCTGCAGCTGCTCTTTCCTGCGAGCAGCCCTGCGCGCACGCACACTTGGCACAGGCTCCTCGGAAACCTCCTCATCGCTGCTGCCAGCCCCCACAATCTCTGAAGGCAGCAGTCCACTCCCTAATGGTCCTGGCCCCTCATCTGAGTCCTCACTCTCTCTCCTCAACCGCCCGCACCTGCCACCGGCTAACCACAACAATGGTATAGAATTTCTGTTTTGGCAGGGGGTTGGTCTAGAAGACCTCCATGGACTCCTTCCAACTCAAGTGGACTTACTTAAGTGGAGGTGGGTGTGGAGTGTCCCTTTTGTCTTTGTTTTTCCATCCTCCCGTCTTCTTGGTCTCTGAACAGCTCTAGAACTGACCAAGGGCCGGCTGGAAAAAGTCCGCATTTTCCGCGCTGAGCAGTTCTACGCAGTAAAGACGGGCAAGTGGTATTTTGAGTTCGAGGCCGTCACTACTGGCGAGATGCGGGTTGGGTGGGCCCGGCCGAACGTGAGACCTGACGTGGAGCTGGGCGCTGACAACCTCTCCTATGTCTTCAATGGGCATCGGGTGAGTCTGGGCTGCTTCCTCCTCTTCATCCTGGGCTGGCCCTTGGTCGTCTTCTCGTTCCCTTTTCCCTGAAGGATCCTGTTCTGACCTAGGCTTCCCAAAAGCCGACTTCTCATCCCAATAAAACTCCCTTTTGGGGCTACAGTGAATTCCTCTCATTCACAAGTAGCAAAGTCCCGCCAAACAGTCTTTCCAGAGATTTCACAACTAAAGACCTTTATCAGGCTTGGACAGCTGCCAGGCCGATAGCTTCCAAACGCCAGTCTGTAGCAGACAATACTTGGCAAGGAGTCAGGAACAGATCTTCACCCTAATGAAATGAATGAATTGTCTCCTGCAAACCCCACTCCCCTTTTGCTCCTCTTTATTCCTATGGGAGGGGCCATTCACCATCCACCTGTGGCTTTACTCCTGAGTCGACCCTTGTTTCTTAGCTGTTCCCTTCTCCTGGAAGCTCTGTGCATGTGCACACTGGGAATAGGCTCCAGCTGTTCTTCTTCCCCACTGATCTCTGACTCCGAAGGCAGACTCTCTGACACAGAGGCCTCATCAAAGCCTTCCCCAGACTCCAGGACTCGCCCATGTTCCTCCCCATGTCAAGATTCTGGCAGTTTTATGAATTGACACCCCAACCTCCTCACTTGCCGAGCTTGCTGCTCTGCTGGCCGCTGGCGGGCCACAAGAGATCCTTTCCGTTTGTGTCTGTCTCGCAGGGTCAACGTTGGCACATAGGGAGTGAGCCTTTTGGTCGCCCATGGCAACCAGGAGATGTGGTTGGATGCATGATTGACCTGACGGATAACCACATCATGTTTACACTGAATGGGGAGATGCTGATCAGTGACTCGGGATCAGAGCTGGCCTTCAAAGAAATAGAGACCGAAGATGGTAAGTATAGCGTTCCCAAATCTCGGATCTGTATTCCTCAGAGGCTGAACAACAGGGGTGGGATTCTGCAGGTTCGCACCTATTCGCTAGAACCGGTTGCTAACATTCTAAGCAGTTCGGAGAACCTGTTGTTAGAAGAAATTCCTGGACTAATCCTGTAAGGAAGGCAGGAAGGAAACATTCTGGTGTTGCTTACAGAAACTGCCTCTCCGTTAACCCTTCTTACATTCTTGGCAGGACTAGACTTCCTGTCTCAAGAACATCTCTGGAGTTTTTTTCCCCTCTTTTGCTGGTACTTTGCTTGTGTGGAGTGACCATTCAAAGTTACAATGGCACCGAAAAAAGTGACTTATGACCGTTTTTCACACTTACGACTGTTGCAGCATCCCCACAGTCATGAGAGGCCAGGCGAGGAGAGGCGTGCCTCGATGTGAGTGATATTGAGTTGGCCACGCCCAGCCAATAACATGACCACCAAGCCACGCCCACCACCTAAGCCATGCCCACAGAACTGGTTGTTAAAAATTTGAAACCCACCCTTGCTGAACAACCTTCATTGTCATTTTTTTAATATACACAATGGCACCTTAAAATGAAATTCCAATGCACCACCCTCAAAACAACAATAACAATACAGTAAGAGCAGCGGCATCATCCCAAAATGCCAAATTATACAAAAAGGACACCAAAACCTACATGCATATCAATCACAGTCTGTCTTGAATACATAGCAGAAAAAAAGACCCAAAATCGATCAATCAGAATGGAGTCAGAAGGCACCTTGGAGGTCTTCTAGTCCAGCCCCCTGCTTAAGCAGGAGACTCTATACCAGTGGTGGCTAACCTTTTTGGGCTCCTGTGCCAAAAATTGCATGCATGCCAGCGTGCACGCACTCACGTGCCAGCACCCAGAATGCAATGCGCGCGCCCCTCCCCACGTCCCTGCGCATGCGTGTGCAATTCCCCTCCCCCTGCCGCCCCCTGACCTGCACTCCACCTCATAGCTGATTTTTTGGCTGGTTTGAGGCCTTTTTCGGCCTCCCAGAGGCTTTTCAGGATGAATTATAGGCCCGTTTTGTCACTTCCGGTATTACAGGAAGTGATGAAACAGGCCTATAATTCAGTCTGAAAAGCCTTGCAGAGGCTTTTTCCAAGCCTCTGGGAGGCCAAAAAAGGCTTCAAACCAACCGGGTTAAAAAAACAGCTATAAGGTGCACGTATGCGCAGTGAGGTAAATTTGCCTGCGGCTTGCGTGCCAGCACAAATGGTTCTGCATGCCACTTGTGGCACACGTGCCATAGGTTCGCCATCACAGCTCTATACAATTTATTTTATTTATTTATTTGTTTGTTTGTTTGGCAAGCATGTATGAGAAAACAAGTATGAACATAACATATAAACATATAAGTATAAACAGGTATAATTATATACATAACTGTGAAAATATTTACAGACCCCTCACATCCCGGACATAAACTGTTTCAACTCCTACCCTCAAAACGACGCTATAGAGCACTGCACAACAGAACAACTAGACACAAGGACAGTTTTTTCCCCGAACGCCATCCCTCTGCTAAACAAATAATTCCCACAACACTGTAAAACTATTTACTGAGTCTGCATTACTATCACTATTAATCTCCTCATCACTCCTTATCACCCCTCCCACTTGTGACTGTATGGCTGTAACTTTGTCGCTTGTATCCTTATTATTTATATGGATTGTTTCCTAGTATGATTTGATTGCTTAGTGTACCCTTTGACTCTTATTAAGTGTTGCACCTGATGATTCTTGACTCTTGATGAATGTATCTTTCCTTTTATGTATCCTGAGAGCATTTGCACCACAGACAAATTCCTTGTGTGTCCAATCACACTTGGCCAATAAAGAATTCTGTTCTATAATCCGCTGTCCTCACCACTCTCTGCAAGCCTTATCTGTCCAATACTCGTGGAGGCTGAACATTTATTTATTCATTGCTGGCGACCCAAGTTCATTGTTTTCCTCCTCATCTTTTACAGGCTTCATCCCAGTGTGCAGCTTGGGCCTCTCCCAAGTGGGACGACTCAACTTGGGTCAGGATGTCAGCAGCCTTCGCTATTTCACCATCTGTGGTCTCCAAGAAGGTTACGAACCCTTTGCAATCAACACGAAGCGGGAAGTCACCATGTGGTTCAGCAAAAGCCTGCCTCAGTTTTCCCCCGTGCCCGATGAGCACCCTCACTACGAGGTGAGAGCAGGAGGCTAACTTGAGGGTGGAGCCTTGGAGGCTGTGCCCTGTGGCAGGTGTGCTTTGGGACTCCAACGTTGACAAGGAGAGCTCCATGTTTGAGAAGCAACCATGGCAGCAAGAGGACATTCTGAAATGGGAGGGATTTATGAGCAAGATACTTTTGGGTTGGCTTGGTGAGGAGAAAGGGGCCGCCATTTTGAACGACTGGGAGCTGGAAGGGATTTCGAAGCTTGGTGGGTGCCATCTGAGGAAGCTTCATGAGTCAGATAGTGGCCTGGCATGGAGAAAATGTGGCAAACAGGTGAACCAGAGGCACTAATAATAGCATCTGTGAGGATTGGTTTGTTGTACGGCAAAATTGTGGTTGAACTCACAACTGATGTGAGATGAGAGATTTTGCATGGCTGAGAGGAAGTGTGGTTATTGGGTTATTGGTTTGGAAATTCATATCTCCTTCCAATGTTTTTCTGATGCCACCTCCATGTCTACATGACCTATCAGAAGATTGGTAACATTGAGCAAGTTAAATTTTACCACTTACCTTTCTACTAACGAATATTTGTTTATAAGTTGTGGAGGACTCTAAAGAAGGGTTCTCCATAATTCTTTGAAAAACAGCCATGGAAGGTTAGGATGAGCCTGGGAAGAAGTTTGTCCATTGCTCCTCTAACCTTCTGCTTTGGTCCTCCGTGGGCAGGTGTCACGGATTGATGGCACTGTGGACAACCCGCCATGTCTAAAGCTGACGCACCGAACGTTCGGCTCCCAGAATGCTATTGTGGAACTCCTCTTCCTGCGTCTCAGTATGCCAGTGGAGTTCCATGAGAAGTTCAAGGTCCTCGCTGGTACCACTCCACTCACTCACGCGCTCACCATCCCTGAAGATGAAGTCAAGGAAGTTGACCTTGATTCCGAGTTTGAGCAGTTGAAGAAAACCGCCAGCCGCAAGGAAGCTGAGGAAGCCGAGAAGGAGAAACAAGGCCCGGGTTCTCCAGCCGCTCACAAGGAGTCATCCAAAGAGGCCCCCAAAGCAGAGAATGAGAAGGATTCCTCCAATGAGAAAAGCAAAGCCAAAAGAGGGTAAGAACTCTATGGAAAGCTTACCAGGGGATCAAGAAATCTCCTAGGGGGGAGATGATCGGGTTCAAAAGGAATAATGAAGATCTTTAGATATTGGAGTGGGAGAAGAAGCATTCTTGGTGTGGGAGGCTATCAACATGATCAGACAAGTAGTGATTCTAAACTAGTTCCGACAGAGTTGAGCAGGATTCATTTCCAAGAAGTGTGCCTGGAGAAAAATCAGGTGGGACATCTTAGATGGAGGATGTACTGTCCTTTCTGATCATACCCTACTTCCTATTTATCTCCTCCAGCTTCTTGTTCAAAGCCAAGAAAGCCACTACCCTCATTAGCCCTGCTCCTGTAGTCTCCACAGTACCTCGACTTGAAGAGGAAGTAGTTCCCGATGACCGGGATGATACAGAGATCATCATGAACACCACAACGGTAACAGGAACTTGGATATCTAATGACTGAGTACAATATTGTCTGTTCCTACCAGACAATATCCCGATTTGTTTGGAATGCACTGTGGTGGAATGTAGTCTGGATTCCAAGACAAGAGATGCTGCATTCCAAAGGAGTAAGAAACAGTGAAGTTAAGATGGTTTGGTTGGGAAGGTCAAGACTGCACCTCCCTAGAAGTTCCCAGAGTCCATTTTAAAGATGCAAGGAGAGATATAACCTGGAAATAAGGAGAAAGTTTCTGACAGAACAATCAACCAATGGAATAGCTTGCCATCGGAAGTTGTGGGAGCAACATCACTTGAGACTTTCAAAAAGAGATTGGACTGCCATTTGTCAGGAATGGTGTAGGTTCCCCCGCTTGGGCGGGGGGTGGGGTTGGACTTGACCTACAAGGTCCCTTTCAACTCTGATTATCTGTTATCTGTTATTAATTGGTGAGATGCAAGTATTTGCTTTAGTTTGGCATGATTGATGTAAGATTCCAAAACCCAAGAAAGGCACACAGAGTTACTTCTAAGCAGTTCAAAGTTGTTCCTCACCTATCCATCGAAACTTTGATGGCCTCTTGAGAACTTCTGGAGAGGACCCATCTTAACTCTCTTCCTTCCTACCAAGCTATCTTAACTTCGCTGTCTCTTATTTCTCTGGAATGCAGCCTCTCCCTCCCTGGGAATCCAGACTACATTCCACCACAGCATTTCTGGTATTCCAGAATGGAAATCTTGGATGGGGGCAAAATTAGCATGTTCTTTGGATAATCTCTGGTCCATGAGTTATTTACAGAATACTTTTCGTAAGGTTTGTGTGAGGAACTGCGCGTCCCACGCCATTTTGTTTACCCTTTGCACCTTTTCTCTTTCCAACCTAACAGTATTACTACTCGGTCCGGATATTTGCAGGCCAAGAGCCCACTACTGTCTGGGTAGGTTGGGTGACCCCTGATTACCACCAGCATGATATGAACTTCGACCTCACGAAGGTGCGCAACGTCACAGTCACCATGGGTGACGACAAGGGAAATATCCACGACAGGTGAGTGTTATCCTGACCTCTACTGTGCATTATGAATTATGAAGACGTATGCTGTGCATACGACTTCAGCAACAGAGTGGTCAGTGCCTGGAATGCTCTACCCAACTCCATTGTTACAGCCTCAACCCCTCACAGCTTCAACCTCAAACTGTCTACCGTGGACCTCACCCCATTCCTAAGAGGTCCTTAAAGGGGCCGTGCATAAGCACACCAATGTACCTACCGTCCCTGTCTTACTATCCCCATTTATCTGTATTTACTCCCTTTGTTCTTGTTTATGTTCATACTTACACTTGTCATCTTCTACATGTTTGACAAATAAATAAATAAATTATGGATCAGCTACAAGCAATTTCTGAGGAATGGCAGCAGTTTACACTAGAGTGGAGTGGAATGGAGGTCAGATCTGGGGATGTTTGAAGAGTCTTTTACCGGTCGAGCAAAGGGTGAAACTACCTTTTGTTGTGAAAATAAAGGGGTGGGGGGTGCAGTTGCCCAGAAAGATTTGGGAGAAGGAGAGGTGTAACTTCAAACCTTCTGGGTCTCCAATCCAGGGGCTTGTTGTCAGGGCTCCGGTACTTACTCCCATTTAAATCATGAGTCTCTAGCCGGATTTTCAAAGCTTAAAGAAGATTTATTAGAAGTAGACATGGCGGCACTGCCTGGGTATAGCCGACTCGTTCATTATCACCCTTAACCCTGGTTTTTTTCCCCATCCCCTGGGTGTATCCTAATTCATATTCTCCAATGGGACACGTCCATAGCCAAGAGGCATCAATCATGCTCTCCAGTTAGAATTTTGCACGGCAGAAACTTTGGTCACCTAGAAACTATCTATGAAAACATTTATGGAATGCAGTTTCGGTTTGCAAGCTGCTTTACTGCTCCCCCCTCCCTTTCTGTTGGCAACTCTAAAAAGACCAGAGAAATATTTTATGAGTTGACACTCGCATTATCTCAAGAAAAAGTAGGCTGAATGTCGTCTCCGCTGCCTCTCATTTCAACAGCATCAAGAGAAACAACTGCTACATGGTGTGGGGAGGGGATTTTGTCAGCAGCACCCAGCAGACCCGAGTTAGCACGGTGGATCTGGTGATCGGTTGCCTTGTGGATTTGGCCACAGGGCTCATGACTTTCACAGCCAATGGGAAAGAAGTCAACACCTTCTTCCAGGTAAGCGGATTCAGGATACGTTCACCCAGGAGAGTTGACGTGTCAAGAGTTTTTACAGTGTGACTACTATTGTGAGACAAGCCAGGAGCAAAACACAGGACACAGAAGCTTTGCCTTTTAATAGTGGTTTACCTACAAGATACTACATGCATATGTTAGGCAAATACCAGGCAAGCAGTGAATCTTCAACTCTATACGGAGAACGACAATGGAGATAGAACACGAGGAGAGAGAGATACATCCTCTCATGGCCTCCCTTATATAAACAGGTTGTTAAAGTGACAGTATCCTGCTGACTCATCATCAGTTCGTCAACTTGGCTAACAGCCTTACAGCAGCTGGTCAGCTATTAAATCTTCATTACTTTAACATTACGGGGGCTGAAATGTATTAGGGAGATGTTTGGGTGGATGGATAAGAAATCAAGATTGTCATCTTCAGAGGAGTTGGAGGACTAGGGCTCTTGATGGGTCTTTTTTGGCTGCAGAAGACAAAGATGTCAGGTCCACAAACATGAAGCTTTTAGAAAAGGAATCTGGGATAACCAGGGGTGAGAAGATCATAGCAATAGCACTTAAGACTTATATACCACTTTACAGTGCTTTACAGCAGTGGTGGGATTCAAAATTTTTTTACTACCAGTTCTGTGGACGTGGCAGGGTAAGGATACTGTAAAATCTCCATTCCCTCCCCAACCCACTAACCTGCTTTCCAGCTCCGTTCTTCTGCGCAGAGCAACAAAACAAGACCCAGCCAATTAGCTGGGACTCGGGAGGCAGAGAAGAGATGGGGGGCGGGGCCAGTCAGAGGTGGGATTTGCCGGTTCTCCGAACTACTCAAAATTTCCGCTACCGGTTCTCCAGAACTGATCAGAACCTGCTGAATACCACCTCTGCTTTACAGCTCTCTCTAAGCAGTTTACTGAGTCAGCCAATGGCCCCCCCAACAATCTGGGTCCTCATTTGACCCACCTTGGCAGGATGGAAGGCTGAGTCAACCTTGAGCCTGGTGGGATTTGAACTGCCATATTGCAGGCGGCTGGCAGTCAATAGAAGCAGCTTGCAGTACTGCACTCTAACCACTGCGCCACCAAAGCTCATCATGTAGGCTTCTCCCAACAATTTGCAAATAATATAACAAATAATCCAATCCAGATGATATTCAGCTGGGTGGTTTTTTTTTAAATAATAATCCATTCCAGATGATAATCAGATGGGTATTTTTAAAAATATGGAAAATCAGCACTGGGAGACTGGGAATGGGCCAATTTTATAGCTTTGTGTGAATTATGAATTCACCAAGGCTGGCTGGTGAATTGTGGGTGTTGAATGAAGTCCACCAGTCTTAAAGTGGTCAAGTTCGGAGACCCTGATCTACGTTGTAAGATGCTACCCTATTTCAGTGTCCTAACCAAAAGATGCCATTTTTATCCTTAGATATTTACAGTTGCTGGAGATCTTTCCTAATAAACTTCGTAATGAAACTTCCTTTTCTTCTCTTTCTGCTTCTGTTCTCCCACAACTGGTCCATCTCAGGTGGAGCCCAACACAAAACTGTTTCCCGCCGTTGTCGCTCTCCCAACAAACCAGAATGTCATGCAATTTGAACTGGGCAAACTGAAGGTGAGGCCTTTCCCTGAAGCTGCACGTTGGGGGGAGAAAGAAAAACCAATATTGCTCCTGGAATAATGAAGGAATCCCACTTGGATCAGGGTGGGTTGGAAATATTATATGCTGTCAGAGTGTTTACAGTGTGACTACAATTGTGAGACAACCCAGGAGCAAAACACAGGATACAGAGGCCTTGTCTTTTAACAATGGTTTATATACAAGACTGCTATATACATACATACATGTGTTAGCCAAATACCAGGCAAGCAATCAATCTTCAACTCTATAATGGAGATAGAACACAAGGAGAGAGAGAGAGATATTCCCTCTCATGGCCTCCCTTATATAAGCTTCTTAAAGCGGCAGTACCCTGTTGACTCATCACCTTGGCTTATTGCCTTGTAGCAACTGGTCAGCTATTAAATCTTCATTACATTAACATATGCAGATTAGTTAATTAACAATTTTCTTTTGCTTTTCCAACTCCTTGCGGGACAGAATATTATGCCAATATCAGCTGCCATGTTCCGGAGCGAGCGGAAAAACCCGGAGCCCCAGTGCCCACCTCGCCTTGCCATTCAAATGCTGGCCCCCATGACTTGGAGCCGTATGCCCAATGAGTTTCTACGGGTGGATGTTGCTCGCTTTAGCGACCGTCATGGCTGGATAGTTGAATGCCTGGAACCAAACATAATGATGGCTCTCCACATCCCAGAGGAAAACCGGTGAGAATGTAATAGTCTTCTATTTCACTTCACAGAAACAGGCTGACACCTCCAGGGTGAGGATTTGGTGTTTCCCAACCCGACCTGGGTGGGGGATTCTGGGAGTTGAAACCTGCAGGGTCCCAGATAAAGGAAGACCATTGGCTGAGTTTATGGTTCTATCACTCAGAGGAGTGTGGTGGAATGATGTTGGGAAACTCTCAGCCAGGCATAGAGGAGGAGTCCAGCAGGGAAGTAGCCTTGAGTCCTTGCGCACTGCAAGAGGCCTGACCTCCCCCCTTAAGCTCCATGAAACCTTATCTGGTGGCTCCCAAGGGAAAGCAAGCATGGAGAGATTCCTGTAATATAGTTCAAACATAATAAAGTTGCTGACGTGGTACAATGTAGTCTGAAATTGTAGGAGGGAGAGGCTCAAAGAGGCAGTGGAGCTGGGTGGAATGTGTTGGCATACAGGAAAAGCCTTCCCAAGCAATCCACAGGGTATATCTAATAGTTAATGCAGACATTTGCTTTAGTCTGGCAATATTCTGTCTGTAGGTGAACAACAATACAGAACCTACTCCACATACCATTCTTGGTTCTTTGGCATTGACAGAGAAAGAACAGTTATAATTATGTTTTTTTTTTTAAATATCCTCTGAAGATATTTAATATTTAGGCTTTCACCTGCTTGCCTAATTTAGCAAAGGGAGGCCTCCATTGATCGATGTAGTTGCTGAACATTGGGAGATGGAAAATGTTCTCCAATTAACAAATGGTTCCACTTTGTAACACCGTGCCAAACTTGGAACTTCCTCTCTTCTTTGTGATGACCCAAAGGGGCGTGGCACAAAGGCAACACAGTCACATAAGAAAGAAAAGTCCCTTTTATAATCTCCAACTTTGCCCCCCAATGTCCTGGTTAGCTTCGGCTAGAGAAAAACTCTCCCAAGAACAGTTTTTAAGTGAAGGAAATTCAGTCCGAAAACAAAGTACATACAAACTGTAAATAAAAATCCACGCAAACCAGGCTGCGGTAATTAACTTGACAGGGCAGGAGAAGGAATTGCAGACTTGAAAGGCCAGCAAAACAAACACAGTGGGAAGACGCCAGAAACCCAATAGCAGATAACTCATGATTTCCTCTCAGCAAATTTGCTGCGCGCAGCTTCCCTTTTTAAACACTGTGTTCCCAGCTGAAGCTAGTGAAGGGAATCAGGGCCCTTTCCTCCCCCGTAAGTCACGCAACTCACGTTGCTCCCTTCTCCGTTCCTCCTTTTATGCCCTTGGATGAAGAGGGGGTGGGCCTGGATCTTCCTCTGAATTCCCTCTGCCTTGGTCTACCTCTCCCCTGCTCTGCCCATCCACACTTTGCCCTTCCCCAGTTTCTTCCACAGCCATTGGAGCCACACTCCCACTCCCTGTCAGTTGCTCGGCCTCCCCCTCTGACTCAGATTCCAACAGGGGCATGACACTCTATAACTCTCAAACTCCCCCCCACATCCCTCTTTCAGGTGTATAGACATTCTGGAATTGTCCGAGCGCCAAGACCTGTTGACTTTCCATTCCCATAGTCTGAAGTTGTACTGTGCCGTGTGCGCTTTGGGCAACAACCGAGTGGCCCATGCCTTGTGCAGCCACGTGGACGAGTCACAATTGCTTTACGCCATCGAGAGCAACCATCTTCCAGGTCTGCTGCGTAGTGGCTACTACGACCTCCTTATCGGCATGCACCTGGAGTCGGCCAAGCGTTCCCGTCTCATGATGAACAGTGAGTTCATTGTCCCCATGACGGATGAGACCAAGACCATCACGCTGTTCCCGGATGGCATGAAGAAACCCGGGTTGCCCGGGGTGGGGATGAGCACCTGCCTGCGCCCTCCGCTCCACTTCTCTGACACCTGCTTTGTCAGCACCAGCTCTGAGCTCTACCAGCTGAGTCCTTCCATCCCGCTGGATGTGCTGAAGGTGAAGGCCATCAACATGCTGACAGAGGCTGTCCAAGATGGAGGGCAACATACCCGTGACCCCGTCGGGGGTAGTGTGGAGTTCCAGTTTGTGCCCGTTCTGAAGTTGGTCTGCACCCTCCTCATCATGGGTGTGTTTGGGGACGAAGACGTGTGCCATATCCTCAAGATGATTGACCCCAACGTCTTTGGAGAATCCAAAGAGGAGGAGGAAGAAGTTCCGGGGGATGCTGAGAAGGGGGCAGGGGAAGGGGAAGGAGAAGACCAGGGCTATGTGGATGAGGAGGAGGAGGAGGAGGAAGCAGGAGAGGAAGAGGAGGAGGAGGAGAAAGAAGCTGGAGGGGAGCAGAAGGAAGAAGCCGAAGAAGGAGAAAAGCAAGAGCTGAAGGCCATTGAGGCTGGAGAAGCTGAAGCCAGAGAAGACGAGGAAGGACTGGAAGAAGGCCTACTGCAAATGAAGCTTCCGGAATCAGTCAAGTTGCAGGTAAAAGAAGGAGCTTTGAGATTTCCCTTCGTTTCTTTCAATTCCTCCAGCTGCACCCTTCAAATCCTTGAAGGGGACTTGTGCAGAAGAAAGAAGCTACATATATCCGTGATGGCGAACCTATGGCACACAAGCCACAGGTGGCATGCAGAGCCATTTGTGCGGGCACATGAGCCCCAGCCAAACTTACCTGCACTGCACATGCGCGCGCCTCCCAGCTTGTTTTCGGCCCGTTTGAGGCCTTCTTCGGCCTCTCAGAGGCTTGAGGGAAGCCTCTGCAGCCTCAGGAGGCTGAAAAACGGGCCTTCTGGAAATACCGGAAGTGACCAAACGGGCCCATTTTTCGGCCTCCAAAGGCTGCAGAGGCTTCCCTTGAGCCTCCGGAAGGCCGAAAAAGGCCTGAAATGGGCTGAAAATCAGTTGGGAGGCATGCACAGTGCAAGTAAGGGGGAGGCGGGGGGGTGGGTGTTGCGCGCACATGTGCAAGGGGGGGGCGCATGGCATTGTGGGTCCTGGCACGCACATGCTTTCGGCACACCACAACAAAAAGGTTCACCATCACTGACATATATCATCTCAAAACAGAATAACAAAATAACAGAGTTGGAAGGGACCTTGGAGGTCTTCTAGTCTGCCCTCCTACTCAAGCAGGAAACCCTATACCCTTTCAGACAAATGGCTGATGTTCTAGATAGAACTAGAAGATGGGGGTCAACCTATTCTTCAAAGCCCCGAAAATAGGACAAGAAGCAATGGGTGGAAGCTAATCAAGGAGAAAAGCAACTTAGAACTAATGAGAAAATTCCTGACCGAACAATTAGCCAGCGGAACTGCTTGCCTCCAGAAGCTGTGGATGCTCCAACACTGGAAGTTTTTAAGAAGAGACTAGATAACTATTTCTCTGAAATAGTATAGGGTTTCCTGCTTGAGCACAGGGGGTTGGACTAGAAGACCTCCAAGGTCCCTTCCAACTCTGTTGTTCTGTTAAGCTAGGTGCTCCTCTGGAGGCATCTCTGGATCATCATCCTGTCCAACTCACTTTGCACTGCGAAACCTTTGAGAGTGTGATGACCCAAAGGGGTGTGGCACAAAGACAACCCAGTTAGATAAGCAAGAAAAGTCCCTTTATTATCTCCAACTTTGCCCCCAATGTCCTGGTTACCTTCTGGCTGGAGAAAAACTCTCCCAGGAACAGCCTTTAAGTGGAGGAAATTCCGTCCGGAAACAAAATACATAGAAACTGTAACTAAAAATCCACACAAACAAAGCTGAAGTAATTAACTTGACAGGGCAGGAGAACGACTTTCAGACTTGAAAGCACGGCAAAACACACACAGTTGGGAAGACGCCAGGGACACAGATAAGCCTCAAAGATACCAGATAAATTCACGATTTGCTCCCAACAATTTGCTGTGCGCAGCTTCCCTTTTTAAACACTGTGTTCCCAGCTGCAGCTCATGAAGGGAATCAGAGCCCTTTCCTCCCCCGTAAGCCATGCAACCCACATTGCTCCCTTCTCCGTTCCTCCCTGCGTGCCCTAGGATGAAGAGGGGGGTGGGCCTGGGTCTTCCTCTGAACTCCCTCTGCATTGCTCTACCTCTCCCCTGCTCTGCCCAGCCGCACTTTGCCCTTCCCCAGTTTCCTCCACAGCCAACGGAACCACACTCCCACTACCTGTCAGCTGCTCGACTTCCCCCTCTGAATCAGATTCCAACAGGGGCATGACTTTCTTTCTTAATCCCTTCCATCCGACTCTGGCAGCTTCCTCCACCTTCTCTCTGCCCATCTCCTTCCCTCCTCCTCCTACAGATGTGCAACCTGTTACAGTTCTTCTGGGACCGCGAGCTGCAGCACCGCGTGGAAGCCATCATCGCTTTCTCGGAGCGCTATATGGACAGGCTGCAGACCAACCAACGGCAGCGTTACTCAACACTGATGCAAGCCTTCACCATGTCGGCTGCGGAGACTGCTCGACGCACTCGGGAATTCCGGTCTCCTCCCCAGGAGCAGGTATTGGGCGGGGCTTATGGGGATGGGGAGGAGCCAAAGTGAAGTGGAGGGGAGAATCACTTAGTGGTAGAACATACAGAGGTGTTATGTGCGTCGGCAATGTCTAGGTTTAGGCGTTTGAAACTCTGGGAAGGGCTAGTAAGTGGTTGTTTGAAATCCAGGACAGTTGGATAACTTGCTACTAAATGCGGAACTGGGGAATTCCAGTTTAGGGTTTAAGTTTAGATTTAGATTTCGATTTAAATTGATTATTTAGAATTAGATTTACATGGATGATTTAGTTTTAAATTTAGAATTAGATTTAGATTGATGGTTTAGATTTAGATTTGGATCGATTATTTAGATTTAAATTGATGATTTAGAATTAGATTTGGATCGATTATTTAGATTTAGATTGATGATTTAGAATTAGATTTGGATCGATTATTTAGATTTAGATTGATGATTTAGAATTAGATTTAGAATTAGACTTGGATGGTTTAGATTTAGAATTAGATTTAGATTGATGGTTTAGATATAGAGTTAGATTTGAATCGATGATTTAGATTTAGATTTAAGATTTAGATAGATGATTTAAGAGTTAGATTTAGATGGATGATTTAGAATTAGAATTAGATTTAGATGGATGATTTAGATTTAAGATTTAGATATAAGTTTAAGATTTAGATTTAAGATTTAGATTTAGATTTTATAGGCTGCCTGATTCCCACATAGCTAGTCCTTGACTTACAATCATTCATTTAGTAACTGTTCAATGTAATAATAGCCCTGAAAAATTCAACTTATCACCACTTTTTGCACATATGACCATTGCAGCATCCCCATGGTCAGTTGATCAAAATTTGGGCTCTTGGCAACTGGCATGTACTTATGATAGTTTCAATGTTCCCTGACCACGTGATCACCATTTCTGGCCTTCCCAGCCAGCTTCCGACAAGCCAGAATGTTCTTCTCCTAACAGATCAACATGCTGCTACAATTCAAGAATGGAGCCGATATTGAGGATTGCCCGGTACCTGAAGAGATCCGGGATGAATTATTGGAATTTCATACTGATCTGCTAGCCCATTGCGGTAAGACCCTGGAAGCTTGAGGGGCACCTATCAACTCAAAAGTAGAGAAGGATATGGCAGACTTTGGGACACAATTCTGGAATTCTGGACCACTTCGAACCAGAGGGAAATTGGGAACGAGCTCATTCAGAAAAATATATCCATCTGAGATAGAACAGGGGTGTCTCCACCACCTTGGCAACGTTGACTTGTGGACTTCAACTCAAAGAATTTTGGGAGTTGAAGTCCACAGGTTGTAAAGTGGTTAAAGTTGGAATTCTGGGAGTTCTGGGAGTTGAAGTCCATGGATCTGAAAGTGGTTTAAAATTAGAATTCTGGGAGTTGAAGTCCACTGGTCTTAAAAGTGGCTAAGGTTGGAATTCTGGGAGTTGAAGTCCAAAGATTGTAAAGTGGTTAAGGTTGGAATTCTGGGAATTGAAGTCCACAGGTCTTAAAGTGGCTAATGTTGGGATTCTGGGAGTTGAAGTCCACAGGTCTTAAAGTGGCTAATGTTGGAATTCTGGGAGTTGAAGTCCACAGGTCTTAAAGTGGCTAATGTTGGAATTCTGGGAGTTGAAGTCCACTGGTCTTAAAAGTGGCTAAGGTTGGAATTCTGGGAGTTGAAGTCCACTGGTCTTTAAAAGTGGTTAAGGTTGGAATTCTGGGAGTTTAAGTCCACTGGTCTTTAAAAGTGGTTAAGGTTGGAATTCTGGGAGTTTAAGTCCACAGGTCTTAAAGTAGCCAAGGCTGGACATCCCAATGTAGAATCAATGGTACCCAGATCCCTTTATTGTAGTTTGAATCTTAGTTTCCACAATGATCTCATTCGTCCTACTTTAATATCCTTTCCTGGGCATTCAGACAGAGTTGGATTTTGCTTCATCCTGCCTCCAGTGTCCCCTGTTATCAATGTTTGCACTCAGGAGCTTGGCATCTTTTCTCTACAGGAATCCAAAGCGAGGGGGAGGAGGAACAGGAAGAGGAAGATACTTCCTTCCACCGGCGGTTGATGAATTTGGTGGAGAAGGTGGTGAACCTTCGCAAGAAAAAAGAAGAAGGGCAAGATGAGCAGCCTCCGGAAGAGGAACCAAAACCAAGTAGGTATCCCCCAAGTGGTGGAGGGGAAAGAGAGTGATGGAACCTAGGGCCTTCCAAACCTTGTGAGATCCAGTTCGCATCGGTCTAATCATGTGTGGTCAAAGTTCTAACAGGAGAGCGCTAACCGTCATGGAGACGGGTTGGTGAAGACCAATTGAAGAAGTTCTGAAGGTTCATCCTGGTTTCCCTGCTCTCTAGGCACATTGCAAGAGCTGATCTCCCACACGATGGTCCATTGGGCCCAGGAGTCCTTCGTCCAGAACCCAGAGCTAGTCCGGTTGATGTTCAGCCTCCTCCATCGGCAGTACGACGGCCTCGGTGAGCTTATCCGTGCTATGCCCAAGGCGTATACCATCAATGCCAACTCGGTGGAGGATACCATGAGTCTGCTGGAGTGCCTGGGGCAGATCCGCTCGCTGCTCATCGTTCAGATGGGGCTTGAAGAGGAGAACCTGATGATCCAGAGCATTGGGTAGGTGTGTTTCATCTCCTGTAGCTTCTTGAACAGGTAGATGCCTTTCACGGTGAAGCTGCTTCATAGGCTCCATATTT